TTTAACACAATTCACAGACACAGTGACATAGGACAATCTCCCACTTCCCTTTAGAACTCCCAGTTAAATTCAGTATTCCTTTAAATCTCAAGTATCTTCCATCATTTGTCAAGGAGCTTTCTACTGATCTGACTTCAGTAGCTTGCGGGCAGAGTGAAGCTCCCTCAAGTCATAATTGCGGGTGACAATCTTTTGTTATGTCTGTTGCATTACTGAAACAAATCAAACTTCCTTTGACTCACTGGAAGAGTCTGGCTCAAAGAAATGTGTTTATCTACTGAAACAAACTCCCAGCTGTCCCACGCTATCATGACACAACAACACACACATATATGTTGACTTATGGAACTTGTAGAGACATTGCGTAGACAGTCCCTAACCATAACCAATACACTGCCAACTAGAGCCTAACTGATATTGTTTTTAGAGGGAAGAAATTCACCAATCAGGATTAATTAGTGAATATTTTGAAAATTATTTGATACATAATATCTGAAAAACACATGTTGTCAAGTAGAGAACAGATCAGTTTTAGCCAAGTGTGAACCTATTGTGACATCACTCATTGGTTTGTGGAGTACCGTTTTGAACCCCTAAAGTTAAATTACTGTTGTTGCCATGAAGGTTTGTTGGAGCCAGCGGACGTGACGTACTGCGAGTTGAGCTGCTCTCATTGGCTGTGCAGTTTCTACTCATCTGTAGTAGGAAACAATGACTCGCCTGGTCACACACAGTCTCATATTACAGCTGTACAACAGTACACTAAAATATGTTTGTTAAATAATTTCAGGAGAGAAATAGTCAACGCAGTAACAGAATCTTGATCCATATTTGAGCAGCACTGCCTAGTTTGACCGTTGGATCTGAGTTTGGTGCGTTGAGCTGACAGACTCCACTGAGAATGAGCTTTCGTCAATCAAAAGGTAAAGCCCCCACCCCAAAAGCATACCCGCTTTATGGTCTATTTTACTAAAAATTGGACCTGAATTGTACTAAATGAAATCATGCTGTATGTAAGAAGACTGAAACTAGAGATAGACTAGAGAGACCATAAGCTCATTAGGAGGAAAGAAAGTGAGAGGTCGGGTCTTTTTGCATAAGACTGCTGTTTAAACTTTGCAGTGACACCAAGCATTTTTTCTGCTTTATATTTATTATTTATATACAACGGTGCATATTGGATAACATATAGGCCGATACGGATATGATACTGATATGTCTGTAACCGCCAATATTGGCCAATAATATCAGCATCTACTGCCTACCTCTAACCCTAACCACTGGCCCAAAAATCTGCTTTTTCCAAATTGGGAAAAACATACAATACAACAAAACATACATAGAACAAAGGAACCGTGACTTTTTATTTACTTATCCATGAAAATAACATATCAAGAAAAAAGCATTAATAATGTATAAATTAATTGCACATTACTCTATGCTTTACATATTATCAACACTTTTATTTTGTCACCAAAGCACATTAATACGAAAATGGAATTAGAAAATAAAAACTGCCCTTTGCAACCTAAGGCCACTTACCCCCTTCACAAGGGAGTCCAATGGAATGGACAATTCTGAGCTCAGAGTCATTCAAGTTCAAGAAAAGTGTGAAAACAGACCAGTGCAAAATACTTAAGCCTCAAGTTGAAGGGGAAGGCCACTGAATTTCACATCTGAATTCCATTTTTAGACTACATGTGGTAGGCCTACTGGAAACAAAGTGTTAACTTATTGTCTAATCTGCGACATTACGCTCTAATCTGAAAGGAGAGCGGCCTTGCAGGTTTTTTTCTGAGGATGAGAGAACATTTTCTGGTTCAACACAGACAGCACAATGTAAACATCATATGAATGTTGAAATGTGAATAAAGTTGAGTCCAGAACCAGATAGAGCAGATAAAGCTGCTTAGCTGATGACTAGGCATTATCTAAGTGCTTAATTATATGTTAATATATGTGTTTTGGTTCAGCTGACATACTTTATAGTTGGGCTGCATGGGCTAATGTTCTGTGAATGTGTGTGTACATTGTGGATGATAACGGAGATTAGAGACTTGGTTCTCAGCATTGCTTATTATCACTATCTCCATGGACTGCTTCAGGGCTCAGTATTAACATTATGTACATTTTAAACTACAGTGGTGTTCCCCTTTAAAGTGCAGCTCAGAAAAAGAAAGGGATGGCAGAGGGATGGATAGAAGCTCTTTATGGAAAGATGTGGGTGGGGTGGGGGTTAAACTGACCGGGTAATAAATAAAATAAAACAGTAAATGTTTTGTGCCTCCCACACTGTTGACTTTAAGAGCACATTCACTGACAGGTGCTTTGTCTCCATCACACAGCATCGTTTTTATTTCCATGGTTGACCATGCAGCACGAAGAGCCATCATTGCATGCACACAGCAACCGTTTGTTAACCTGGTCGCTATGGTAACCTGTTTTTTCTTTGGAGTATACAAATGTCAAATTAGGGTTAAGATAAAATCACAAGATCACATTCTAATTATGAGAATCATGAGACCTGTGAAGATGCCAACATACAAAAATCACTCAATTTCACTTTCACTCTCACATTATGAGCACATGTAAATGTAAAATAAAAATCATCATGTCTCCCTGCTGTATTATCAGGATGTTCAAACTGAACCTTCTCATTTCCATGTTTGCCGATAGTTGACCAGAAACAATCAGGGGCAGATCTAGAGGGGTAAGTTGTTGTCAAATTTAACACATTCATTTATTTAATTTTTTTTTAAATAACATCTTGAAAAACAAAAATTAATTTAATGATCCGTTACGACCACATTTTAGAATAAGTGCATGTTCAGTAAAAAAAAAGACTAAGGAAAAATGTCTAATGATTTGTAAATAAAACAATGTATTGATTTCTAATGCCCCCTTGAGATATTTCTATACAATGCTTTATTAATGTGCCACAATAGTGGAATGATTTGAAATATCTTAATTTAGGGGCTCTACCAATGTGCGATTAAATCAGAGGGTGGCATGGAGATAGTTAAAGCTGCAGTAGGTAAGTTTTAATAAAAAAAAAATGTTGTTGTATTTGCTAAAAACTTTCACTAAATCCTGACAGTAGTACACGGGACAATCTGAACAGAAAATCTGTGAAAAGATCAGCTATATATCTTTCTCAGTTCTGATTGGTTGTTTTCGTCCAGGCCCGGTGGATTCTTGCAAATGCAATTAGGAGCAGAAGGAGGAGCCAGAGGAACCTGATCAGGATTATAGTGAATGTTTCTGCAAATATTACAAAAAGTTATTTTTTATAGAAGTTACCTACTGCAGCTTTAAAGTCTCTATGCCACCCTCTGTCCACCCAGGAATATTTTTCTATATCCGGCCCTGGTTACACTGACTTTTCTGCTTTGCAAGAAGCTTCAATCACAGGGGACCCAAATCAATAAACATTTTAAAACCTCTCTGTGAGGAAAACTAGAATACATCATCTCAAATTAATGTTAAAAGCTTAATAATGGCTGCAGTAAAAATGAGAGCGTGGAGGTGAAAGTGGGTCAACGCCACGTGTTAATCTCTGTGTGTTCATCTGGCTTGTCTCTGGAGTACACATTGGACTATGTTGCAGAACAGAAGGAGGATCCTTAGTCCAAACACACAGCGTGATCTCTCTGAATTACTCTGCCTGTTTGTTCAAAAACAAAAACAGACCCAGATGCTCAGTTTGCTGAGCTTAACCGTTGATTACTATAGTCCTGATATACGGTATTAGGATGACAGTTAGAAACACAGCACATCACATTGTACTGTCAGGAAGAAAAGATCCACTGTACTGATATACACACCAACAAGTAACCTGTCTGTCTGTTAGCCCAATGTTTCCCAGACAATGAATTCAGGTCTGACGCAAAAATGGCTTCAAAATCTAGCTGTAACCAGTGGTTAACCCAGGGAAAGGGAGTTTCTGTGACTGCTATAGAAGCAAATACTAAGAAAGGACTGAAGGTGTCATAAAATTTCAAGTTCTATTTAATGCCAGACTTAAAGGGTAATTTCGTCTATCAGTAAGAAAGACATTGAACTCTCCAAATTGCTGAGATCAGCAACATTGCTAAAAAGAACTCAGACAGGGTTGTGTTAATATTATAAGACAGATTTTAAGCAAACCCTCAGGTAAGACAACCTTACGCGGAAGAGAAAACAAAAAAAGGCTGTCCCCCCCCATAAAGGGTTTTAGATTGTTCTCAAACTGCTGGTATGGGAGCCCCCTCTAGTGGTATGTGGAGGTATCACTCAAATATTTTTGAAAAATTAAATAAATGAATTTAAACAACCACATGCGGCTGTGGCTCAGAGGCAGAGCGGGTCGTCCCCCAATCAGAAGGTTGTTGGTTCGATCCCCGGCTCCTCCTGCCACGTGTCGAAGTATCCTTGAGCAAGATACTGAACCCGGTGTG